CTCGTATACCGTCTGGATACGTGTGGTGTCAGTCTGCACCGTCGTCAGCCTGTCTCCGTCCCAGCCATACCACGTCACCTCCGGTTTACGCGACAGCGACATCCACCCCGTCAGGTCACGCTCCCGCCGCCAGACCCGTTTTGCCATTCGCCGTCCCAGCGGGTCGTAGAGGTAGCGGCTCTCGACCAGTGGCTCGCCATGCTGTATCCGCGTGTAGAACACCAGGCGGTGCTGGCGGTCGTAGTGGTAGTGGTGGGTCCGCTCGTCGTCCGTCCGGATAACACCCGCCGGGATGCGGTCCGTCTTCTCCGTCAGCCTGCCGTATTCATCGTGGCGGTAGACATAGTGCGCATCCTCCGCGATGCGGTTATCCGGCCACACTGTGAGTGTACTGTCCGGGTGCAGCTCCGGGTCGGGCAGGCGGTTACCTGCCGGGTCTGTGGCATACGGGATGCGGATATCCAGATTCGCTGCGGTGGTGTGAACGCTGGTCAGCCTGCCGGTGGTGCTGTAGCTGTAACTCCGGGTCTGGCGCGGGCTGCTGATGCGGATGAGTTCGCCGTTGTCGTTCCAGGTGTAATCGCGGTCATACTGCAGGCTGTTCAGGTGCTGGCTCTGTAACTGCCCGGCAGGGGTGTAAGCGGTGGAGAGTTCATAACGGCCGAAGCTGCGCAGCGTTTCCCGGTGCAGGCGGTCGCGGGTGTACTCCACCAGCGGTGTGTCGCCGAGTTTCATGCCTGACAGCCAGCCGCTGCCGTAGGTCAGCCATTCCACGGCGGGCAGGCTGTCCGGTATACAGCGGTTCGCCAGCCCCTGCGCGTTGTACGAGTGTCTGGTCTCATGCTGCCAGAGCAGTGCTTCCGTCTCCGGGTGATGCACCGTCTGGCGCTCACCGGTCAGGCGGCCTTTCTCATCATACCTGTAATGCACCGCCACCCGGTGCCCTTCGCTGATATGGCTGATGTCTGTCAGCCAGCCGCGTTCGTCATACTGCCACCGCTCTGCGGTTTCACCCTTCACGGTGCGG